TAAGCAGAAAAAGCCAGAAGTGGCACTGTGGCTCAAGTGGTAGAGCGCTAGCCTTGAGCTGAAGAGCTGAGGGACAGTGCCTTGGCCCAGAGATAGGTCCCATGACTAACAAAAAAATAAAAATATTGGATTATACAGGTGTATAGAGGGGTACAGTTACATGCATCAGGTAAAGGGTACATTTCTCTTTGGACAGTGTCACCCTTCCCTCAGTGTGTAGCCTTTAGAGGTTATTCTACTTCCTAAGGCACACTTCTTTGGGGTTCCACCCATGTCATTTGCATATACCAATAATCTGTTTTTTCGTTTTTTGTCAATCATGGGGCTTGAACTCTGTGTCTGGGCACTATCCCTCAGCTCTTCAGCTCAAGGTGAGCGCTCTACCACTTGAACCACAGCAACACTTCTGGTTTTCTGAGTGGTTTATTGGAGATGAGTCTCATGGACTTTCCTGCTCAGGCTGGCTTTGAACCATGGTCCTCAGATCTCAGCCTCCTGAGTAGCTAGGATGACAGGTGTGAGCCACCGATGCCTAACTATAATCTATTTTATTGTTAATATTACATAGTGTGTACATTCTTTACTGCTCATGAAAGACCTTGGTGTTATTTCTGATTTTTGACTATTACAAATAAAGTTATAAATATTCATGAGCAAGTCTCTGTGTAAATGTAAGTTTCCACTTGGCATTTCATTTCTTTCATTTAGTATATCCCAGATCACAAATAGAATTGAGCATCTTTCATTAACTAGGTTCAGACTTTCCACTTTGAGAAAAGCTTACAGCTCTCCCCCCGCTCCTCAGGTTGTCTTTTTCTTACTAGTTTGTTAGTAGTTTTTAAAAAAATTATTGAGATTAGGTGATTACATAAATTTCACATATTTCACAGTATTGTGGAATAGTGATACTTAAAGTCACAAACACATTTTAACCTTCACAAGGCAAATTGTCATTATCGTGGTTTTTAGTGGTTTTGTTTGTGATGCTAGGGATAGAACCAAGGCTTTTACTCATGCTAGACAAGTGTTTTTGTGTTCTGACTTGTTCATCTTTTGTCAGTTATTTGAGATTTTATGTGTTGATATTTTAATGGTCATTGTTTTTCAAAGTATTGAAAAGTTTAGAGCAAAGTACCAGTGCCTCATACCCAAAATCTTAGCTACTTATTAGGCTCTGGTCCAGATGATAGAGGCTTGAAGCTAGCCCCAGCAAAAAAGTTTGAAAAATCTCTTGTTTTTGATCACTACTACTACCAAAAATGAAAAGACAAGCCAGGCACTAGTAATTCATACCTCTCATTCTAGCTACTCAGGAGGCTCATCTGAGGATCATGGTTCTAAGCCAGACTGAGCAGAAAAGTCTGTGAGGCTCTTATCTCCAGTAAACCACCAGAAAACCAGAAGTGGGGCTGTGGCTCAAGTGGTAGAGCGCTAGCCTTGAGCAAAAGAGCTCTGGAACAGCACCCAGGCCCTGAGATCAAACTGACAACCAACAAAAAAAGCAATAAAAAAAGTGGTGGTTAAAGGCATAGCACAGTTGATAGAGCACGAAATACTGAGTGAACGCAGCAGTACCATGTTCAACAGTCTCAGACCTAAAAAGGAAACTAAAGTTTAAAATCAATGCAAATTTTGTGAAACATGTTTATTTCAGGGGGGTTATTCATTTTGATTTTTAGACAATGATGTACCCCACACATCATAGACTTCATTTCCTTTGCATCGTTAAGTATCAGCTGCATGTTTTCTGCAAATTGGTGTGTTCAGTGCCAGGAAGAGTCTATAAAAACTTGTAGCTTTTTGAAGGCAGATGCCATCTTCCTTTAAGTTTGTTTGGCAGCAAATGCTTTCCCTCATGTTTTAAAGCATCAGTTGTGTTTACTGCATTGCTAAACCAGTCATGTTTTCCAGTCTTTCCACCAGGTCTGGGAAAATGCTGACATCACCAGTCTTCTTCCCCAGCCCTGAAGCCAGAGTTTATAATACTGACTCATCCTTCAGCCAGCCACAGAAAATGTTGATTATTCCAGTACAGTCCATGCTTACAAAGTGACTTTGAAAGAGGAAATCGCCAGTGTGATTTCAGGTAACAGGCAGCGTTTCTCAAAGCCAGTGTGATCTCAGGTAACAGGCAGGGTTTTCTTTCCTTTCTCGTCTATTCAGCTGCTGCTTCTTTCCCCCTTGGCAGAAGAAGCCAGAGTTCTGCAAGCCTGGCCGTGCAGTTGTGGCCTGCGCAGGCTGGTGGGGAAGTTCTGTCCTGAGCAGTGACAGCGACTCATCCTTCTGGTCTACACTGAGGGAGCCAGGCTGGGACTTGGGGTTCAGCTGTAACAATCTAGACAGCTGGGCTAGCCAACTCAGGCATTGGCTCTCATCTCAACAAATTACCTGTAAAATGTCTCCTGGGCCAATTTCCTTCCCTGCTTTATTTGTTTGTTTAGTACTGATCCTGGAGCTTGAACTCAGAGCTTGAGCACTGTCCCTGAACTTTTTTGTTGTT